CTCTCTCTCTCTCTCTCTCTCTCTCTCTCTCTCTCTCTCTCTCTCTCTCTCTCTCTCTCTCTCTCTCTGGTCCAGACGCTCCGTCTGGCAACGCTAGACGCGACCTTCGAAGAAAAGTGGGTCGATCCTTTCTCGGAACTCCGAGGGAACTCCATTCTTTGGAAGGAATCGCTTCGCGGGAACGGTAGAAACGAAAAATAAGCAGCCGATTTCGAAATTAGAGAACGCGATATCGAGACGTACGTCCAAAATGTCCAAATTGTTGCGATATAAAAATCTTTTCGTCAAATAACGACGGTGGGTAGGATCGAACGACCGTTGCATCATATTATATTTTTTTCCACTCGTCTAATTGCATCCTATCGCTGTATATCATCCTTTTTGTCAAGTACAACGCATCTATACGGAGGCAATGTCTCTCTATGTCGCGCGCGCGTGGATCTTCGCGGACGGATTAATTTGCGCGATGACACACACAGAGAGAGAGAGAGAGAGAGAGAGAGAGAGAGAGAGAGAGAGAGAAAGAGAGCGGTGGCACGATACCGATACGTTGGTCAAAGGTCGCGGTTGCATCGTGGCTTCAATCGTCCGCGACACGCGAGACCAATATTGGTCGCTACCGATCGAGCGCGTCTCTGATATTTATATCTCGTCGCGTACAACAAATATAATCGTGGCCTCGATCGAAATACGCGAGGAAAATACATTATTTTTTTTTACGACGGTCGTAAAGTTCGAGAAGGGACGAGAATTATTATGATTTTTAGCGACAAATGACAATCGAACGATATCTCTTGTCAATTTTTTTAATATCGTATAAAAATATAGAGAGAAATATTATGACATAAAACTGTATGCGTGTGTGTGTGTGTGTGTGCAATCGAGAAAAACGTTCGCGTCTTTTTTAATCAAAAAGATCGACGCTGCAAAAAAAGTCGATGTAAAGTCGTTCTTCGGTCGTTCGAAATCTAGATTTTAATCGCGACGTAAAAAAAATGACAGAAATTTGGTCATTTTAATATCCTATCTTTTCTGTTCTCCTTGAAAAAGTCCAAGTGCGTATTTTTGGTTACAAATCGATCGGGTGTATCGACTCGAGGAACAAAAAAACATTCCACCGGTGTAGAACGCGAGGATCCGTATGGGGGGGGGGGTGCGTACAAGTTTCGCAACAGTCGCATCGATCGAACCTTTCGATTCGAACGAGCTTTTTTATTATCGGTTGCCCGATGGCGTGACAAATGGAACGGCTGCGCGAGGAACGTTCACACCGATAACAATGCCACAAAAAATTTTTTTCCATCGAGTCGGGTGAATCGACACGCGTGTCCCGTGGGTCTTCCCAAACACGCCACGACAGCGACGTCGAGTACCGCGCGTACCGCGCGCGAGTAAGATCGAACGGTGTATCGAACAGGAGATTCCACGCGCGCTTCATAGGATTCCCATTTTCACGCTTCGCGTCCGTCGAATCGCCCAGATTACGGGCGAAATGTACGAAAATAGGAATCCTATGAAGCGCGCGTGGGTCTCCTAATTGCAACGAACGCGAATCTCGCTCGTGGATACGAGAGCTTCCTACGTCGTGCGATCTAGGACGACGAGCGTCCCACAGTCGCGC